GGACCTGGTGAACAGGCGTGAGACGATCCTGGAGGTCTCAGAACTGAACCACAGTGTTCACACAGCCGGACACTTTCTGTGTTCTCTGGAAGTCATTGCTGTCACTTCCTTGACTTCCTGTCCAAACACTACATCACAGATTCACAGCACATGGTGGAGCACAGTTCATCGTGTTTCCATCGCGAACTCTGCCTCTGTCCTCGCCACGTTAGCTCACAGCAAAGAAAGAGCAGAGTGTCCTCGTCTCAGGTGTCCATGAGCACCACAGGACTGAGACACACCTGAAACAGCGGCTGCGTCCGTGCTGCAGGCTGGACCACGGCGTCCGTGCTGTTCTGGACACAGCACACCGAGTCTGTGGTGTTCATGAATCCATCTGTCGTGTTTAAAACCAGCTGACTAAACCCTTTACAAACAGCTGATGTCCTGACGACCAGCGCTAACCTGTCTGCAAACAGGAGCCGATCTTTGATAAAGTCAAACTGTGTTTGTGTTCGTTGGTTCTAATGACAGGAAACCCAGCTGACCAGCGCTGCAGCTTCTGCTGCATCACCCTTCCAGTCCAAACCACTGCAGCGACCATCAAAGAGAGTGGGCGGGGCTAACATGACCCATGAATGCTGATGTTTGTGTGATCTTTCCAAAGAAGCAGAGCTGCACTGCTGAACAGAGTCGTGTGTTCAGGAGGCTCGACTCATCGGTTGGTGTCTGAGAGTCAGTGCTGATGACGGAGTCAACAAATGTTTGTGGACACGGCAGGAAGTAAACAAGCTCTTTGGTTTAGGACAGATTATGACATACATATCAGATACATTTCAGATCTTCATTCAGACAACAAAAGTACACTTTAAAGTTTCTCTCACAGTTTGAATGCTTTAAACCTGCGTCTACATCAGGATCAGAGGTAAGACCAGAAGAACAAAAACAGCAGAAGAAGAAGAACATGCGGCACTGAAGGAAAGATCTGAGAGAGGACCAAAGCTTTGTTCTCACCGTCTACCAGAACCGTGCAGGAACACTCGGCTTTGCCTGCCGAGTTCTCGGCTCTGCATTTATACTGGCCTTCATCCTCTGGCAGGGCTTTGTCTATGGTCAGAGAGCACAGGCCGCCTGCAATACACAACACAGCACAATATAACACAACCCACACAGGACACAGTCAGATCAGCACGAGGTCAAGTCTCATTTCTTACATTCCACAAAGTTAATCAATAAAAATGAAGGTATGACTCCACGTTTCATTTACTATGAATGAGCTATCAGAGCGTCACGCTCTCCACCCTTTTAGACGTC